ACGCTTGCTAGCCACGAGGACAACTGCCAAGAAATTCCACAGCCCTGCCCACTTCAGTGTGGAGAACAGTTACCAAGGTAAGTTTGTTTGACAGCCAAGACACTTGATCCATTTCTAGTTAAGGTTACCCAAAACTAGAGAGTAGGACACACTTACAAACGTAATTCGAGATCCGAAACTAACAGCAAATTTAAGGCGATGCATAAAGCGATGGAAAGTAATTGATAGAAACAGTTTAAACGGTTAAGCAATAGATCTGAATGGTTTACGGTCGAGTTGCCCGAAGTCATGTCGCCCGGAACCTGAGTCGTGTTGCCCGAAAAAAGTCGGCGGCTGTAGAATCAAATACTTAAAAAGATCAGATTTTCAGACTGCAATTAGGCAATTAAACGGGAAATCTTTTTATGAAAGCGCCATTTGTTTCCGACAACACCATGAAGATTCTAAAAGCGTTGTTCGTTTCTAACAACAAAATGAAGCGGTTTTTTTTTTTACTCATTTCGTACCACAGACTTTCTGTAAAAGCTTGAGAAACTTTATCTTGGTTTCTGACATTGCCATGAAGACTTCGACTGCACAGAAATCGATTGTTTGTTCAGAACTGACATATGTTTGAGTAACGATTCGGAAAGCGTTGTTCTTTTCTTACAACAAAAGGAAGCGTTGTTCATTTCTATAGCAACAAAATGCAGCACACTGGCCTTTCATACTCTGTCGATTCGTACCCAGTGGGAATCGTTTCGTTCCCAACCCACTAGTATATTGGCACTCAGCCATTCAGAAACGTCGCTTATTTCACTCAACCTAAGATTGCAAATTATTAAAGTGTCATTACTAAAATTATTATTAAATTCCTAACACCGAAAGGGAAATGGTACTATCAGACTACTATTGTTAAAAAAAACAATAGAATATTGTTAAAAAAAAATACCAGACTTACCTTACGCAAGGTAGTAAGTTATTTGTAACGAAGTTCACAAATAGATACAGCAGAACTTTATTTGCATGCTACTCGCTTGACTTTTTACTAAATCGTAGCACACGATAATCGAAATTTGTTTATTACGGTTTGGATCAGCTTACGAAACGTCCATGTGCTTTATTTTTGTTATAGAAACGAAATACGCTTCCCTTTTATGTTAGAAAGGAACAAAGCTTTTAGGTTCGCTACTCAAATATATTTTAATTCTGACTATATGATAGATTTCTTTGTAGTCGAGGTCTTCTTTGTTTAGTCTGTAAGTTTTTTTTTCGGGTGATGATTACATTATTTGACAACACAACTCAAGTTCTTGGTCATTTCTTTGTTTACTTCTTCTGGAATTTGATGTTTTATCAAATAAAAATCCGCACGATGATGATTTTATAGTGGTGCATCACTTGTCTGCTTTACAATGTATGAACGCTAGGAAAAGGATTACTACCCAATCTTGTAAGTGTAATGGCTTGATATTTAGTTGAGCAGAGTGTTTGTTCAACGTCATTATTGATGCATTTAACTCATTTGTTCATGTTTACAGATCGCACATCCACCTGCACCTTGGCGATTGTCCACAACGTGTGGTAAAATGTATAGTAAAGGGGTGCCACAATTTTTATGCGCTTGAGGAGGAGGCGGACCACAATAAACAGTACCAAGAGAGTCACCAGGTGCTGCTGAAGCAAGAGGTGGAGGCTAAGAGGAATAATATTTGATCAGGTGGGTGACGTTCTTCCGATTGTAAAAAGGAGATGAATTCTCTGCTAGAAATTTCAACGAAACAAGCTGCTACAGACGTTTACCTTGATATAGTGTAACATTTATAGTTTCAGTTTATTCTTCTGTATCATGGCTGCCGCTCTTTTCTTTTCCTCAGTGGTCTACATGGCAGAATTCTAAATTTTTAAGATCTTGTTGTTTCTGTTGCTGCAGCAAACGAAGAGTGTAACGATTTACCTGGTGTGATAAACGTTGCCAATGGTTACGTTTCCGAATTCTGTCAATTCTAAAGCTTGCGAAGGCGGTATTGTTAGTGCAGTTGTCTATTTCAATGCTTAATTGCAGTGGCTTGCGCGCTATTGTTTACAGAGGTAGAGTTTTGCATATATTAATACACTCGCCGGTCAACCGTGCTTCTCGACGTAAAATTTAGGGTGGCCAAAGGTTGCTTTAAAAAAAATCAGTTTTGATGGTACTTCTTAGCCTCGTACGGCAGAGAAAATTTTCACAAGCCCTCCTGAGACATGGAAGTAACTTTTCCATATGCTGACTCTGAAGTTTTGTGAATACTTCATCAGATTTTTCAACCTGGAGATCAGCTTCCATACTGAAATGCATCTAAAATTTCTAATTTTCAAAGTGGTCTCGATAATGGTTATAGAAACCGCAGAAAACAAACTTTAGTATTAATTTGTTCATTGAAACCTCTTCTACAAAACCCATATGCCGGCAAATAGCTAAGGCAATTAGTTTTTTATCAAGAGTGAAAAACACAGGTGCAAGTGGGCGATTTATAGCCATTTTCTCTATTTTTTAGCTCTCTTTTCTTAGAGGACGGTTCAAATTTACCGCCGATGGACTTAAAAGGTACCTGGATGTGTCGCGGCTTCTGCGCGATGAGTATGCGGAGCGTTTTGAGGAGACATTTGACTGTATACTGACTTTTTTCAGGCTGATGAAACAGTACACCAAGTTTTAAAAATTAGAAAGAGTTTTCATTGGGCCGTTAAAATGGCCGACCTGGCTGATGGCAAAGATGCCGCAAGTCCCTTCTTCAATGTAGAAAGAAGTACGTTGAGATTCATTTGGGCGAGAAATTCGACTCCTCAGAAGTTTATGTTGGAGCAGCTGGTCTCATCTAAGCCACTCACGATCATTTTAAGGTAGGGACAGGTTAATGTTGGTGAAGGCTTAGGCCACATTTGATGTAAGTAAAAAAATAAAACTCATCCAGTTCCTGACAAAAGAAGACTCCGTTTCACGATCTAGATTCGATATTGTCTGTTAGTGGTACTTTTCTCTCTTGCGATTGGCTATCGATAGTGGCTTTTCTTTTTTTTTTTCATAATTGATAGCAAACTAAATGGCGTTACGAGCCAGTTGCACTTTAGCTGTGGTTAGCTTAATAAGTTGAGGAATATTTCAAAAATTAATCAGAGCTGATTCAACAGCTCCTTACTTTATTTATTTTTTTCAGAATTGCATTACTTAAAGATGAGGGGGTGCAGAAAGTGGTTGAAACACCTCGTCCAACGCTTGTAGACAAAGGGGGTGTTGTCAGTATGGATGTAGACTTCGGACAGCACCCGAATGACCAGGATTCGGAATTTAAAATAACAGTAGGCATCTACGGCCACGTATAGCTCACTCCAGGTTTTTAGTAATTGATAATTCGCCCAAAATATTTGAAGAATTAGGATTCTAACAACGAGGTTGGCTGTACTTTTTTACGATACTTTTCACTTAAACTCCAAATTGGTTTTTCTTTGAATAGAAACTTTTTGTAAAGTTTTAAGTATGTTGTGTTTTTCGATAAAGGTCTGAATAAATTGCAAATACTAACTGCTCTTATTTCACGGATAACCGTAAATCGCTACAAAAATGAAATCAGAGGCGGAAAAGTGGACAAGAGAAAAGCATTTCAATTGAGATTCAAAGGAGGAGGATACTAACCCTGACCCCTCCCCACCTCCCTTTCGCAAAAACAACTAGAGAACCACAATGAACACAATATTCTTCTCGCAACAGTAAAATATACGAAGGCAACCTCAACCTTAAAGGAGATGAGTAAAATGCTTCTTCCTACCCACCTGGGGTACCATCCAGAAGCTGGCCCGGAACCAACAGACGTGGTGATCCTTCGTAGCCACCCTACATGCCACACGGCATAATGGGCATGAGTGAGTGAGTGTCCTATTGGTATGGGAGTTGTAAGTTTAAGGCTTTCAAATCCTTCTAAAATGTTAAAAGTATCTCATAGGTTGAGACGAAAAAAAAAGGGGTTTTCAGGAAGTTTTAAAGAGTCCAATCGCTAGAGTGGGTCGAGTCTTGTTCCACGGAGGAGTGACCGAGAGTGCATCTTCACTTTATTGCAGAAGCTCAAAGAGGCAACTGGTTAATGAAGTTTGGGATTAACGGACTTAAGCAAACATTTGAGTTCGCTGCCACTATAAAAAATCTCGGGAAGTAGGCGAATGTAAAAATTGAAATGTTAACTATTCGGTATCAGTTTTCTTATGACACCATTATCGAGCTCATTCTAATGCAGAACTAGGTAAGAACGCTTTCTTACACTTGTGTATCCCCCATAAATGGGTTCTCTATTCTTTCTTATTTCGTGGCTGCTAAACTACCGAAAATTACGAAACTTCCTGACCAGATGATGACGCAACTTTTTTGGGTCTTAACCTCTCTTCCCCTCAACCCCTCCCCCGTTAATATGAGAATAATCCAGAATATTTAAAAGAGATATCATGGTAAGGGATGTTAGAGTCTAACAAATGCTCTCCTCCCTCAACGTTCCCTTCCTACCACATATTTAAAGATAACTTTCAACATGCCATTGTAAAGTGCACATGCCATTTGCAAAATTTATTAAATTTCATAATTGATAAATACGCATGATTACCAGCTGATTAATCATAACCACTAAATACTTAATGGATAAAAAAAACATTAACATAATTAGAATACAAACTATTTTAAACACTTGCATTAATTTTTAACCCTCTAACCCCTAGAAGTGATAAACAAAAAACTTCTCCCCAGAATATCCTTACATTATCCAACAAATAGGTAATGAGAATACTCATGTTTATCAGGTAGAAATTGTCATCTTGATCTAATACCCAATTTGCATAAGCTATCTACAAGGAATTGTGTAGCAGCTTGAGAGGACAATTAAGAAACAGTTTCAAAAGATTGAGAGTTAACTTTTAATTAACAACTGCTCTACATCTGTTGAATGTGATACAGCACAACAACAATAATTTATATTTTTCTTTGATCAAAATTTATAAACATGCATGATTACTGTAAACGGTTTACAGCACCGCCTTTAACAACACCACCCCCCAGACCAATGCCTAGTGACCGTACCCTTGGTGGAGCAGCATTTGAAGTCATAGGGACGGATTTTGCAGGCCCAATCCTCTACAAGCTGACCCCTCAACGACAAGGAAAGGCATACTTGGTGATTTTCTCCTGTAGTTTGTCCCGAGCAGTTCACCTAGAGCTGGTGCCAAGCCTAAAAACCAGTGCTTTCCTGCCATGCCTCAAGCGGCTCATCGCCAGGCGAGGACGTCCCAGAGTGATCTACTCAGACAATGATAGCACCTTTGTGAAAGCAGCTAAGTGGCTGAAACAAGTGCGAGAAGATGAGAAGCGACAAGGCTACCTGGAATCGCACGATATCGAGTGGAAATTTAACCTTAGTCGTGCCCCTTGGTGGGGCGGGCAGTTTGAACGGCTCATCGGAGTAGTTAAGAAAGCTATGCACAAGGTCATCGGGAGAGGTTCTCTGCTTTGGAATGAACTGATCGACGTACTTCTCGAAGTGGAAACCCAAGTGAACCGACGCCCGCTCAATTACGTTGAAGACGATCCAGATCTACCAATCCTTACACCAGCAACCTTCCTGTTTCAGCGGACCACGCACCTTCCTGAAGAGCAGACCTGGCGCATCCCAGACAAGGACCTACGCAGACGAGCACGATTCCTTCAGACCTGCAAGGATCACATGTGGACAAGATGGCAACGCGAGTATCTGACAGCCCTGAGAGAGCGCCATAACCTATTTCACAAGACAGCAAACCACAAGGTAAAACTTGGAGATGCAGTGATCAAAATTTCAGACCAAAGCGAAATGCAGCATCAGTAGCTGCAGCAAAAATAAAGGACATTGCGGAGAACGAAAGAGAGAGATGAATTTTAGACTAGGAATTAGTAATTGAATATGAACTTTTTCACGTTATTGACTTAATTGAACTATTTCAGTCTCCTAAGTGACATGCGTCTTGGCATACCAAGTCGCATGGGGGAGTGTGTCGGAGACTGCGTGATTACTTACGTGACGTTAATTTTGTTAACAACATTATCGTTTCTAATTTGTACATGATTGACGTAACCTCGAATAACCTTTTTCATAGTGCTTAGCAACGATCAATCACAATGTAGAGAATGTAGTATAAGAATTAGGATCTCGTTTCAAGTTGCCAGAGTAGCTCTTTACACGCCTGCTGTAACCGAGTGAATACGCAAGAACGATTAAACAGTTAAACTCAGTCGAGTCTGTTGATTGAGTCCAGTACGTTAGAAGACCGGTTATCCCTAGTAAACGGGGGAAAGTTTACGAAACAAACACTTGAAATACTGAAAGCGTTGAAATGCCAATGGTTACCTGTGAGCTTTTCCAGTACTATGTGCATCATTAGAAAGTTGTGTCTCATTGGTTCCATGGCAAATTTACCTTGATCAGGAAGACCTCAAAAGCTGTCTATGGAAGCAAACAGTGTACATGGGAACAGTGCAAAATAAGTATTGGCAAAAGATGCCAGAATTTATACAAAAATAGGGCAACAAGACCAAAATACTAGTTGTTTCAGCCATTGTTTATTAGTATTCAGTGTTTTGTTGCAAAATGTAAAGTATTTCACACCCTTTGAATCACAAACTTTTATTGGCGTCTGATTGTGTAGGATCAAAACAAACAAAGAATGCTTAAATGCTAAAATACTGTATGCACTCTGAAGCTAGTGGTTTTTTATTTATAAATATAAATTGTGAAGAATATATATTTCCAAATAAACATGGGTGGTGTGATATCTGGAAAGCAATCAGTGATATGGGTGCTGTCTATTTTAAGAACAAATAAGCAAGGAAGGCATTTCTCGATTTTTAACGTTTGAAAACACTCTGAACATGTTCTCTGCTCTGTCTGCTTAAAAAGCGGAGTACTGCAGTTAATGTAAAAAACTATTCCAATCAATTGAGATTTTATTTCCACCAAATACATGTCCCTTGGTCACAATTACCATTCATCCCAATTTACATTTGTTGTTGTAAACTGATCGAACACTGAATTGGATACAATGGTTTAGGCTTGATTAAACATCAGGAAACTGAAGTTGATGTGCAAAATACCTGGATTCATCAGGGAGATAGTTTAGCCAAGTATATGTATCATAGTTGGAATTACTGTAAGACGCTTGGGGCAATTTACTTGATTTTCATTGTCATCCACAGATTGAGCCCAGAATCAGACGTGACGGCTTTAGTCCTTTAGTCTACTGTGTTTAGTCTCAAATATTAAGTGTCTCTGTCATGGTGACTGAAAAAGGTTGGAAATACGTTTAAAATTAGTTTGTTCCTTACATGGATGGTAAACAAACTTGATCACTCGCACAAGGGAGTCTACCTTTTGGTCGAGCATCGGGGGTAGAGGGTTACATTTTGAGGATGAGGGTAATATGTCCAGGGTCCAAAAAAACTAAAAATAATAAATAAATAATTAAATAAGAAAC